GGAGGCGGAAGTGGGTCTGTAAGCGCCCTCTACATTTATATACATCGGTACCCGCCGGGTCATCTCCGGCGCCTCATGGGCATCAGGCACATCAATTTGATGCGAACGGGATCAACTATAACGCATAACCCTACTTCCAGAAACAACGCCGGCCTGGGTACTTAGAAGGCCGTCATGACATTCGCGTCTGCGACGTCCATTGAATGGGCCTAGCGCCGGACGCCAATCGAGCTGGGGTATTTGCGCGGGTTGACAGTTGTGGGAGCAGAGCGGCCGGCGTTTCGTCCGAGGGCGCTTGCAGCGTGAAGGCTACAGTTTCGACAGCAGGCAGGGGATACACCCCTTGGAGGCACATCGCCAAATGTTGCGCTAGGGAGCAGATATGCGTTGGGGTCGCGGTCCTGATAACCAGCCTTGAGATATGAGCGAAGGCGCTTAGAACAGGTTCCCAATCTTCAGCGCTCTCCGGCAACCGCGACAGATCGCTTAGTGTCAATGAGCGGATCGATGGCAGGCCAGAATATGGCTGGTTGATCTGCCCATGAATCAGGATGCTGGCCATTTGTCGTATAGCTGACAAGCACAATGGGGACAGCCCATGGCTCCCGGTTAAGTTGCCCTCCGCAGCAGCAGGAGCAGGGCAACGGACTGACAACGATCGACGGGGCGGTCTTCCTATCGCGGGTTGAGTCAGTCGCGACACCGGACTGGATTCTGCAAGCATCTCTGCGAGCTCATCGCCGCTGCTCGCGAACAGGAACGATATCGAACTCGGGAGGAGGATATTCATCGCCATCTCCTTCGGAAAGACCAGGGCGTCGCTCTCATGCCCAGCGCCGGGCATGAAGAAATCTGACGGTTCGAGGAATGCGGCCCGCGTTTGAGCAGGGGCCACAAGGGCGGCTGCATATCGCCACAGACAATCATCTACCATCGTGTGTTCGCCTGTAACAGGCGTGGCATGTGGGGAAGGGTTGAGCGAAGAGCCGGCTGCTCTCCAAAGCATGACCGGCTCAAGGTGGATGTCAATTTCGGCGGGGAGTTCCAACCTTGACAAAAGTTCACTGGCCGTCTCGGGAGGGAGAAGAAGACGCAGATAACGTAGCGCTGGAAGACGCACAAGCCCAGGAGCCTCGTCCTCGAACGTGTTGCCCATAAATGATTCGATCATGCGACAGGATCCCCCGTCGAAGTTGAGGAATCGTAGATTCGTGCAGAGAGTGAGAGCGTTGAGAAGGCTAGGACCGAAGCAGTGCTCATTCAGGAAGGGAAAGGTGACGTTGAGGACTTCAAGACGAGAACTGTAAAAGAGATAATCCACGTTGGATCCGCGGTATGTATGCAAGACTGGGCTCTTGACCACGGTCAAGAAGCTCAGAGAGGTGTACACGTCTTCGTGAAGTTCTAAGTCAAGGTGCTCAAGGGGACTGCTCTCCGGACTGTGATACCGGCGGAAGAAATGAGCAACTGAATGCTTGCCAGGGCCTGGGTCCAGAGTGTCGGCCCATGGAAGGGAGATAACTGCAACCCTGATAGTCGAAAAAAACTTCTCGAGGCCGGCGGTAAGACAAGAACAGACGTTCTCAGCGATAAGGACGTCGGTCCCATAGCAAAATTGGGCGCCCGCAGCCATCAGAGGTGGCGGCGGCGGCGAAACGTCTCCGGCAAGCTCCGCGACAAGGCGTAGCAACGCATTGCCTGCAATTCGCCACACCGCCTTGTCGCCGCCCAGGACGCGATGCGTTCGCGAGCACGTGTCCATGAGCGCATGGGCAGGGCCAATGGGAGCAAGCGGTTCGTCACGAAGACAATGCGCCACAGTACCTGCGGTGACGCCGCAGCAATCATCCTGATCGATGGTCAAGGGCAGGAGCCGCGGTTTGGCAAGGCTGGCGGCACGCCGGGCGCACTTCTCGTCCAACCAGGTATGCTGGGCAAGGATTGCAATGCGTGACAGGAGCTCAGCTGGAAGTTTGTGCAGGGAGGGAGATGCAGGAAGGAGCTCTGACATGGCAGGGAGTAATGGTGGTGGTGATGGAGTACGTTGAGCCTGCCCACGTCGTGCTTTGGCCAAAGCAATGAGGTTTGGGCGAGTCGAATTACTCCCACGATCAGGGTGGGGGCCATTCTCGGCATCAAGAAGCCGACGGCAAGCCTGGTACTTATTTCTGCCGCCGGTGTTTTTGCCACTGGGGCGGAACACGCTGACCGAACGCATCGGCGCCGAAGATACTCGGCGTAATTACAATCGGCGATTGATGGCTCTGGCGATTGATGGCTCCGGCGATTGATGGCGGAGACTGAAAGTCAAAGTTGGGATGGTGGCCCTTTGTTTGTAAAATATCAACTGAACGAATTCAAGGAATGTATCTAACGAGGCGAATATGTGGGAGACCAGATCTGGTCCGGCCAGAAGAGTTCATCAGAGTGTCCTTGACCACCTGCAATAAGCCATCGAGCACTGTATCAGGTGCAGTTTGAAGATGAACTGCATCCAGGGTCGGGCAAGGATACTGCCCATCGCGTGCAGCTGTGTTCAGATACCAAGCCAGAGCATACACGTGCTCAAAGGCTAAACCGCCTTCCACCCTCCCGTCAAATTCTACTCCTCCAGGCAGTGTAGGGCTGTCGAAATGTATGGCCTTGAGAGCAGTGAAACTCTCCAAGACGTGCTGGTATCCGGCTGGGCTATCCGGCAACCAACTGTCCTTGGCAAACACTAGCTCCTGCACTCTATGGCTTGGTGTAGGACGAAGCGTGTATCGCAAGGTGTCGTACAGGGCCTTCGAGTACTGGCTGTTGAAGCTGCGCTCCCGGTCTTGTGCAAAGAACTGTCCGTCTCTGAAGGCGATGGATCGCCGCGCCGCCACCTTGTTGTCTAGCTCACGACTCCCTCCGGCATTTCGGCCCACCGGGTCCTGCAAGATCGGCCGCAGCTCCTCCACTGACTCTGCCAGACTAATGCTGACTAGCTCAGGGAACCGCGACGCCGCCGGCTCCCCGGCCTTGGTGTTTGGGTCGATGCGCACGTCTAATCCCATCACCACCGTGGACCGCCGCCAAAGCTCTTCGGCTGGATCGCCAGCGTCCACCGGATAATGCGCATCGGCGTTAAACTGGAGGAATGGCGTGCGGTGAGGGTGGGCCAGGACTTGCGCGTAGTCCTGCGCCTTCGTATACAGTCCGACGACAGGTGGGGCAAGTACCGATGGCCAGAAGGGCACTGTGTATATCTGTGGCGGTGGCGCTATGTTTTTCATAGAACTAGCGTGGGATATCGGGGATGGACGGATGTG